TTTGCCTAAACTGTCTCTCTGTGCATAATTAAATCGAATCTAATGCGGTCTGCACAAGCAAGTCTTGCCCTCGGATACGCCACGCACGCGCCTGTGGCTGGCAGTCCTCGAAATTGCGACCCCCTTCCGACCAAAATGCGACCCCTTCGTTCGAACAGTTCGAACGGACGGTTGACCCTGCTCCCAACGCCGTGAGTGGCAATTACGATGCTCTACCTGACACATTTCAAAAGGGATCTGGTTAGGCTGTCGATCATTTGTCAGAGCAATTTCATACGACCTGAGCCTCTCCGAAGTCTTGTAAAAATACGGAATATAGAGTTTGGGTCCCACATGCCTTGATTCCGCAGAAGCTTCGAACACGATCTGACATCGTCATGTTCGAGCTGCTTTACTGCAGTTCCTTCGTTTGAATCATGCTTGCCGGTGATGAAGCGAGGGTGCAGTGTGCTAACAAATGAACAAGCGGCGATAGCCTTGCTCAAAGAAGTCGGGAGTTTTCCTGCTAAAGTTCAACCTCTTCCAAGTCGGGTCTTCCCGGATTTTGTGGAACACGCGAAGAGTTGAGCACTAGGAACCCCTGCATACACTCCATGTAAGGACGTCCAATAAAAATTCTGATATTTAATGTGATAGAGGCAAGAGGCACATCACGACCGGGAGGATGCCCATGACGTATCCCGCTCACGCCAATCAAGCACTCCATCTCTCCGGGGACCTTTAATTTGGAACTGGAATGTGGCGCATCCCAAAAGAGATTGACTGACACCAACTGCCTCGTTTCTACATATGCTTCACCCTAAGACTCGTTTTTCTTGACAAAAGTCTCACTGTTTTCTCAAAGACAACTGTCGCTCCTTAAAGCACGCTATCAATTTCAAGATTTGGTAGTCTCAGGCCAGCCCGGACCATGCATGTATGCAGTAGCGGCTAGTGTCACCACTGCACCACCTATGCCCAAATAAAAATCAGAAAGTCAAATTTCGAACAGTCCTTCTCACTAGTATTGCCACTCAATAGATGAAGCTGGAAAACGCTTAGGATAACGGTACAGTCTGTATACTATGCGCTGTATCTCTCTGCGGAGATCTTGGAAGCCCGCCGGCTCCCTTTCCCCTCCCCCCTTATATTTTATGATGATTTCCATGTACAACGCAATGATGGCAGTGGCCGTTTAGAGCAAAAACTTGTATTTTGAACGCTCTGAAACGTTGATGCGTCAACGAGATGTGCTTTCTGTGTCTGGTGAACGATTATTTTGAAAGAGCCATGAATTTTTGCACGCCACGAGGGAATTAGAATAACTTGCAGCTTAATCACTTTCTCGTAGTGGAAGCAAAAATAGTATGTCTTTGAAAGAATATCCGGAACAGAAGAAGTTGGCGTCTGTAGTGAACTGCAGAACATGACATTGTGAAGCAGGTAAAGCAACGGAAAGGAGTCGATGAATTACTGCAGCATGTGTGGCAGTGAGTACGATCGAGTGGGTCTGCACTAGGGAATTAGGTGCGCAGTCAAGAGCCAAGAGAGTAAAAAATATGCGCTAGACATTGCCAGTTCCAAAAAAAATATGTAATATTCGTAATCAGAACACAAAATAACACCTGTACACAAGTTACACGAATTTGGTGAAAACGCTACGAACCGAATTTCGTTGATAAAAAAGCATCCTGGAAAAGTGCCGACTACGTCGGCGTCATTGACGCAGAGCAAAATGTTTATCATAATTTGAAAGAGCATTAAATGACCAATATAGGCAAAGTTCCGAAAAAAAAGAAACAAACAAATTACACGTTGTTGCTACTACAACCCATTTGGAGGGGGATGATCGAAAAAAAGCTCAAACTTTCTTAGTAAGGTTATCGAGGGCTAATCAGCGATATGACATCTTACTTTGAGCGTTGGCCACTTTGTCATGGCAGCTGTTTTCACCAAGTTCGGATAAACTTCTACAAGAAGAGTTACTGGTGTCCTGATTACGAATGTGAACTTCGTTCTTGGCATTCGCGCTGTTCGAAGGAGGACTCCACGATAAGAACGGAGGTCGAAGAAGGGGGTGGGGTGGATAATTTCTCCTAGTGGGAGACAGACGTCTCCTGAGGGTGCGGACTGACACACAGTTGGCTGCGAAAGATTTGACCCGAAAGATCTAGCATGGCTCACTTTTGGAAGGGTTGGCCTTGGCGCGCCCACCGATCTGTTGACACTCGCCACAGGTCTAACCGGCGATGATTAATAGGAGAGCGTAGTCCGATGAGGCAAGCTTATGAGAGTCGCATTGATGCGCAAATCAACGGGCAAGAAAGATCTCCCAGATCACCTCTACCCTTATTTCCAATGAACTAACTTTTCATCGTAAATTCTGCCTTTGGCGCTCTCTCACTTATAGCACCTAAGACTAAGAACAAGCTTTGAGGAGGGAATGAGACTTTGGAGTTGCTAAACTACGCACCGTGTGGCAAAAAGTTAAGTGTATTAGAATCATCTCGTATTACGTCAGAGCTGCATTCGATAGCGTCCACTGGCCAGCGCTATGGAAAGCCCTAGAGTGTGAACATGTTCCGGACAAAATTGTGAGGCTGTTGCGGGAGGCGTACAATGGAACTGTCAGCTGTATCCGCGTCAAGGATGACGTCTCTGAAGAATTTCCTGTAAGTGCTGGTGTTCGTCAGGGTGACGTGATCTCCCCTACGTTGTTCAACGTGGTAATGGACGCTGTCATGAGGAAAACTTTCAACGGAAGGCAAGGCGTGCAGTACGGTGAAGGCGGCTTTCTCACTGACCTGATGTTTGCCGACGACAGCGCAATTTTCGCCGAAACTGACGAGGAAGCGACTAACATCATGTGCTCACTGTCAGAGATTGCCCAGTCGTATGGCCTCAAAATAAACGCGGAAAAGACCAAGGTGATGACCTCGGATGGATCGCCCGCGTCCGTGCGACTGGGTAGCGTCGCCTTGGAGCAAGTGAGTAATTTCAAGTACCTTGGATCGGTCGTTCAAGAAAGGAAAGTGGTTGCCGAGGCTGAGGTCCGCAGCAGGATTGGTCATGCGTCTAAGACATTTGCAGCGTTAAAGTGGTGTCTCTGGAAGAAGAGTAACATATCACTGAAAACCAAAATTCGCATGTTCCGGACGCTGGTGCTCCCTGTGCTACTATATGGGTCTGAGACATGGACGTTGCTCAAGTCGGATCTCTCTCATCTCGAGGTGTTTCAAATGCGTTGTCTCCGCCATATGCTCGGGATCAGGCTTCGTGACCATGTCACGAACAACGCCATCAGGGAGAAGTTTGAAGATCAACCCACAATCGAGGAACAATTGAAACTGCGACGGCTACGATGGTTCGGTCACCTGTGCAGGATGGGTCACGACAGAATACCTAATATGCTCCTGTGGAGAAGACGCCCTGCGCAGTGGAAAGTTCAGAGGACGGCTCCAAAAAAGACTTGGTTGAAGCAAGTTGAGGAAGACCTTAGGGCTCTGAGGTGCAGTGTTGAGCATGCTAGATGTATTGCTGCTAATCGACCAGAATGGAGACACTTCATTCAGGGCGTTCGTACTCCAATGGCACCCACAGCAGTGTACTGGTTGAGAGGCCGGCCCCCACCACCAGACGCAAGCTAAGGGATAAGTAAGTAAGTAAGTAAGTAAGCAAAGGCTCAACTTGACTTTGGAGCGCCTCTCATAAAGCTTGCCAAATCGCCTCAGACTTAACTAGATAGGTGAGGACGAGCAGGAATTAGGCGCAAATACAGGGAACGTCGATTCGTGTCATGGGCCTTAATAACCCCTATACGCAGTTTACAGTATTTGTCACGCTTGTTGCTTGTTAGTGGCCTGTTTGTAATACGCACTGGTGCAAAAATGGCACAAAAATAGATTCATGATTCGTGAGGCTCTCTGAAATACTCCCTAAAAAAGGATCGTCTAATGTGGAATACTTGGACTCGTTCCTTGTTTGTTTGTAATGTGTTATATGTGTAAAAGTAACCATGTTCTGAAAGTAAAGAAGTATGTCGTTCAAAAGAAATATGAATGAGTTTTTTGCTCCCCTACCCTAGAGAAAGAATATTATTCAACCCATGGGAATGCACCCCTACACCCTTTCGTCATCATTTTGACGACTTGCGGTTTTTCCTTTTAAAGGGCGGCTTAAGTCGACGTTCGGTCGCAGCACGATCTCAGGGTCGCGTCGCGGTTGAGGTCGCGTTGCTGGAGCGTTCTCGAGCTGGCCTTGTTTTTCTCGTTGTTTGGATTATCGCGGCTTCACTTTGGTGTAGAGGCTTCATCTTTCTGCTGCTCATTCTTAACGTTTGTTTCGTCATACTCGGTGCCCTGTTCTCAAAACAACGTTATTGTGAGTGGTTCGAATTTGTGCACTGCCTTTTCATGCTTTGCAGCAGGAGCGAAAAATCTATCATTCATTTTTGTATCATGTTGTAATTCTTTCGGCGCTAACGACGTAGGGGGAGAGGGGAGATTCAAGGGAGTAAGCCGCTTATCGCACATGGGTCAAAGCCTCAAGGAGGGGAGGGCACGAGGGAGACGTGCGTTTCTCCTCCTGGGGTCAGGTCACCACAGTTGCGCGATCATTGAAGCTTAAGGTTAAGTTTGGGTTTAGACTTAGGTTAAGGCTTATGCTTACACATTGGCTTATGCCTAAGCCTATGATTGGGCCTAGGCTTAGTCCTAAGCTTGCTCCGAGCGAATGAACGGCGTCTCAATTTTAGGTGACCTGACCCCAGGAGGAGAAACGCTACGCACCCGGCACGAGGGCTGAGTGTGGAGCAATTTTTGTTCTCCCTTGGCGTTCCTATCCTCTCCTGGGCTTAGGCTCTCCTCTTGTCGCGTACCAGCTGTTTTTCATGCACTTTCTGAATGCCCTCTCCTATACAAGTAAGGCGCGTTGTTTTCATTACTTCAAGCCTGATTTTTTGAATCAAAATCTTCGATGAAAAGATATTGCAGCCGATAAGGGGAACTCCATGTGGCGTATTATCTCCCGAGCTAGCTGATCGCAAAGTCCTCAACTTATTGTTTTAAACGATTATATTTCTTCCATTTTAGTGGGCGTGTTTACTTAGTAACATACCATATTATCTTAATGTAGGTCCTTATCAGGCAATCCAGATGGGAAGCAAGGATGAAATCTAAAGACTTTCTGTCCCCAAACCTAGCATACAGCCCAGGAGTTGGATTTAGTATTATTTGGGCTGATAATTAATTATATCAGACATCTACGGCTGGCCACACGGCTCACGTTGCACAGACGGTTAAGTAGATATCGAATGAGGGCGTCATTCCAATGGCCGCGATTATCTTGCATCTATCCTAGACAGTGATATCCACTTGCGTGCGGTGAGCCTGCACCGGACATGACGCCACTTTGCCACTCCTGTCCGCTGTATTCTCAGACCACGTATCGCTAGATGACGACTAACCGCTTCTAGTCGAAGTGTCCAGCCGATCGATCCGAGCAGTGTTTTGTTATTTGTGCGCCCATTATGCTAATCTGGGTAGCGTTTATTGTCCCCCAGTCGCTTGTCTTCGTATCTTCATCATTCTGAATTCATTTATTGATGAACATTTAAAATCACTGTTACTATTACTTGTCAGTGTTTCGATTTGTCGTCATCCAAATTTTACTAGCTGTTAGCTGTGTCTTGCTGAAATGTCTTTGCAAAGTAGTTGGTTGGAACTGTGATTCTGCTGGCCACGGGTTTCGGTATCGCTTAATTCTAGGACCACGATTGGTGGAAGGAAGTACGTGCGTGAGCAGTTTCATTTTCCTTAGAGTTCTTGCCGCTTCTAGGCTTTGAAAGCTCACCGTGACACGTAAAGTGAGCTGCACCATCTGACTAACTTTGCAGCTAGTGCTTGATCATTCAGCTTTCACATTTTATTGTTAGGGGGAGGCATGCGCCGGGTGTTATTCTATACGTGCCCCATGCTTCTTATGTCATGCAAATTCCTCGTATTCAATGTGCGATTGTTGTTGGTTTCCTGAAAGCGATATATCGATCGGAGCAAACGAGGCCCACGATTTGGACGTTTGAACATTTGACGACGCTCAATGGGTGTGCGCATTCAAGAAAGCTCCTAGTTTTGTTCTAATCTGCCTTTGAATCTTTGAAATAGGAAGAATCCTTTAGTTAGTTTCTAACAATAATTCTGCTAGATTTATATTTAGAAATAAAACATTTTGGTTTTTATTGCCTGTTCCCTTTTTTCACTTGCAGGTGGCCATGGTTACAGCAAGATTGGTCGTAAATTTTCAAATGTGTTGTGCTGCATGAATTGCTTCTACGGACTTGGTTAATTGGTTTGGCAATGATTAATCGTGAAGTGGCGGATACGGATATAACTTACAAAGCAAAGAACGCGCTTTGAGTAGCATTAGCCAACAAGCTGATTAAATTTTCTGGTCTGCTTGTACAGGGAGGGAGAATTGTGAGCAAACAGTCCTCACATGGTTCATTTACTTATGGTTGATTTCACACTAGCAGACAAAAACAATCCGAGGCTCACGAATAACTCAAATATGCGTCTTCGTTTGTAACTTTACTTGAGGAGATTTGCGGCAGCTAACTCGATATTTCGAGCGTTTTCGAGTATGCGTCGCACTACATTGGTTCAATTTATTCGCATTTTCAACGTCATCTCTCTCTCCATATTCACAGTTTTTCCTTCGTGGCACTCTTTCCTGATGTGGAGATACTCCCTCAATTGATTGTAGGTCCAAAGATGAAGTGAAGTGATTCTCATTCTGCAAGCTCTGTGATCGCTATCTGAGATGGTGTTTTCGAACAGCCGGCGTGCTATTTTCCTGACGAAACCATCCTAGTCTAAGGTTGGTGTCGGAGTCCTCTACCCGTCGCGCGAATCGCAAAATTCGCAAGTGCCTCATTTGAACATTTGAAACACTGAATATGAAACAAGTAGAATCATGAACAGTCGTCATTCAACCATCACCATCAAGCAGAAATGGCGGCGGGATTGGAGAGCACCTCGCAGTATTGATGGGGCACTTGTAATCTGCGATCCATCGCGCGAATCGCGCGACGGATTGCGGACTCTGGCACCTGCATAACACTCGTGAACGTATTGCTATGTAATAGTTTCCCACCATGACGTGCTACACTGTTTGCTTCCTTGCTTCCATTTCTCCGTCTTCGCTCATCAGAATGCTGAGAATAGGAATTGCAGCACATTCCAGCGTGCGTTTTTGCCTTGAATATTTCTGCCATCAGTTCCTATGAATTGGCAATATGTATCTTTGGATAAACAAGAGGTCTGGGAATTTGTGGTCTCTGTGATTGAAAGTTTCAACGAATTACGAGAGAATTACGAGCCGAGGAAGGAATGGCTTCATGGAACAAACCGGCACATTAGTGAGAGGCTTTCGATTCGTTAGGCCGTGGTCATACCTTGCGACCGTCATGCAACAGTGTGATATAGATGGTTATGGAGGCTTTTTTGCAAACTTTTACTGCGGCTTCAGTTTTTTTTTTGTTTCAAAAGGAAATGGCAAACAGGTTATTGAGTTGCAAGTAGTAGGCGCTGATCGATAATCGTCATGTTCCTACCAATTTTAGTTCCCAGCTTTTCGAATCGTCGTCGTGTATTGATGGTGTTGAAGTCACATTAATGTATCCTGTTTATCTCATTCAGTCTTATTTTCTAAAATGAGCTTCCGGTCGTTATGGAACCCCAAGGTTGGTCTGAGAGAGTAGCGACAAGTGGCGCTGCCCGCTATGGGCTAAGGGTGAACTATGATCTCCGACCATCTCAGCTAAGCCTACCGACCCTCTAGACCCTGGTATTTTGTGTCACATTGGTATGGCGGGTATAGTCCTGCATTGTACATCAATTCTGCAAGCCAGTCTACTGAACGAAGACGTTCAATTGATGATATCTCGAAAGGAGTGATTTCTTCTTAAGTTTACCAGCTTTTAAAGGAAGCGGATTACGATAAAGGAGCGCATCGGGGAAGCATATGCACCACACGAAGCAGTTACTTGGCTGCCAAGGAAGCGAGGTGTGGCGCTTTCACAACGAAAGGTGCGCTGGTTGCTGAGCAGGACTTCGAAAGCGCTCCGCCCCCAAAAGCGATCCGCCCACTAGTTTACTTGTTGATTTGGACGAGCTGCGTGCCAGCAGCGGCACAAATGGAGCATCTCGATTAAAGCGTGTTTGGCATGGTGCCATCAAACGCGTTGCGGTGAACTCGTTCATACGTCCACTTTCTGAGCTGTTACCTGTTCATGAGTGAAAACCAACGGCCAAAAAGGGGGTCCCGTTTTGCGTTTTCTTGACGGATTTTTCTGCTTTTTTCGCTACTGGCGTACCATTGAGCACCACCACGTTACCATAGGCCCTTCTTAATTTTCCGTAACCGCTGCCTTTAAATATGCTTTGGACTCAAAAAACACGATAGAGACATAAACAAAAGGCATAATTTTTGTAAGAAGGAGATAAACAATGAGGTTGGCTCTTCTCATAGTTTGGCTGAGCTGTAGTCTGAGAATTTACGATTAGAATTTGGTACAGATGGTTTGAGCGGCTCCCATCTTCTGGGGAAACAGCAAAATTGCAAATTCGATCGATCGACAATTGTCTAGTTT